CATGCCAAACCCCAGACCAATACCACTTTGGTTCAGGGAGAAATTAACAACAGACATCCAAACATGAAGCAAGAGCACAAATTTGTGCCACCTTTTAGATTCTGGACATCATGTGTTAGGCAAAATTCAAAAGCCATATGCTAGAGACCTCAAGTGAATGCTGGCAATCCAAATTCAGTAATTCCAAGGACATCTCGCATAAGAACAAATGGGAGCAATGGGAACAACAACTTCCAACAAAAAGCTCAAACTTTGGACTCTAAATTGAAAAAGGCTCTTTCCCAAAACCATTTTCTGAATAAGACAGCTCCCAAGACTTGGACTGTTGACCCCACCATGAGTAGAAGAGTCCCAAATGGGGCCCAGACTAACTCGGACATTAACAGGAAGGTAGTAGAGGACTGAAGGAAACAACTGGAAGAATGGAAGAAAGCTAAGGGGAAAGTCTATAAACGGCTTCCTATGTTACTGAAAGCAAAAAAAAAAAAAGTAATAGAGAAAATGAATGTTTCCTTCTGGAAGAGCATTGAAAAAGAGGAGGAAGAAAGGAATGCCCAACTTGAACTGTCCAATAAAATGAACAATACTCTGACATCTCATTGAAGAGGGTGTGTTGTCTAATGAAGTGTTTACCATATTGTCCAGTATTCCTGAGGCTGAAAAATTGCTAAATTCTGTGTCTGTAAAGCAAAGTTCCTGGCCCAGAAAGGCACCTTTGATATTATCGGGTTATATGAAGAGGCCATTAAAAATGGGACAGGGCCTATCCTAGAGTCGTGGGAAGTTGTTATTAACATTTTGCAAGACCAAAATAGGAAAACAGAAGGAATTACCTCTGACCCTTCCATTGTTGAAGAGCTGATCAAAAAGATGGAATCAGAAGAATCTTCTCTTTCACAGAAAGAGGTGGAACAAGTTACAGAAATACCCTAAGTAACCAAGGAAGGCCAGGATACCCATCTGGCCATCAAATTACAAATCACCCCCATCCCTAGGCTAACTGGAATGCCAGAAGTGCAGGACACGAAGCTCATCACCCCTGTCTGGCGTTCGGGGAGAATAGAATGTGCTGTGTCCCGCTATCCAAAAATGCTACAGGAGCATGACTTAGTAGTGGCTTCCCTGGATGAACTGTTGGAAGTGGAAGAGACAGTGCTTCATCTTCCGCAGAAATGAGGCTTTGCCTGTGATGCTAGGCTTCAAGGTTCTGGAATCATAATTTCTTGAAACTTTTAAAAAGTGTGTCTGGGGTTTCCAAGACTTACATGAGAAAAGAACTACTCATGCTTGAGTTACCTGGAAAAACATGGGTAACAGGCATCCTGGATGCATGGCAGGTTACAGACTCTCAGGACTTTGAAAGTGATTCATTGGCCTTAACTCTGAACTTGAACAGCCCACCAGGAACATCTGCTTTGTTTTTCAAATACTGCAGTTTACTATAGGATATATAAATTTCAAACTATTAACTAGTAGTTAATTTACTCCACAGTTGTGAAATTAGCATTTAATTCACCTAATTCAATCCCAGTATAACTCATCTTTATATCAGAAAGATGGGTGCCACATACGTTTCACTTCTGTATTGACCTTAGCAAAGAAAGCAAGTTTTTACAACATGGAAAATGTGACCTTTGAGAGGAGCTTGCAATTTTATGTCAAGCTGTATGGGACATACCAGGCCATCTAGTTAAATGATCTGATTTTGCAGATAGCTTAATTCTACCTATAGCTTTGCTCAGAGGGAACAGCTACTTTTCCATGTGTGTGATTTGACTTGCCATCACAGTAATCCTGTGGGTGAGCTACAGTTCTTGTCATTTCTGTGCCAGATTTCTTCTAATGAGAGAAAATCCCAAATCCATCCAAACATAACTATGGTTAGCGTAAGCAGGGTGACCATCCCAAGCTAGCTTTCATATTTATTCTTCAGACTCAGTTATGCTTCAGGCAACAACAGAAGGGGGAGAGAAGAGAGGTGAGGAAGAGATGCTCACTGCTTCCTCTCAGTTCTTGTGTCCAAGGAGACGTGTCCTGAGATGGAAGTGCAGGTCCAATTCCCTCTCCAGGAATTGTTTTTCCTTCCTCCTGGCCAACTATCCTTAGAAAGGTAGAGTCAGGATCGTTGTATAAATATAATGGACAGAAAAACATAGCCAGCACTTTTATTTTCTTTCTTAGATATTTAATACTGTCTTTAATCAATCAATCAATCAATTAATCACTCTTTGTTTGTCTTTTTAAAAAAATCAGTTGGATTTTTCTACAGTGATAAACAGAATAGAGAACAGGAGCTAAGAAAAACAATACCCTTCGTAATAGCTAATCACAAGATTAAATACTTGGGAGTAAATCTAACCAGAAGCACAAAGGATCTATTCAAAGAAACTTACAAAACATTACTATAAGAAACAAACAAAGGAAGAAAGAAACAAAAAGAGACCTAGAGAAGTGGAAGAATATCCCCTGTTCATGGATAGGAAGACTCAATATTGTGAAAATGACAATACTACCAAAGGCAATTTACATATTCAATGTAATCCCAATACAAATACTAATTCCATTCTTCAACGAGATGCAAATTCGACTGAGCAGCAAACATCAAATGCTGGCGAGGTTGTGGAGAAACTAAAACCCTTACTCCCTGTTAGTGTGAGTGAAAATGGTGCAACTATTGTGGAAGGCAGTATGGCACTTTCTCAAAAAGTTGCAAATAGAAATATCATTTGACTCAGCAATTCTACTAGAAATATACTCTAAAGAAACCAGAACTGTCACCCAAACAGATATATGCATGTTATTGCTGCATTGTTTACAAGAGCACAGAGACTGAAGCAACCCAACTGCCTATCAACAAAGGAATGGATAGAGAAACTGATATATTTACACAATGGAATACTATGCTGCATTGAAAAACAAGGAACTCATGAAATATTGTACAAAATGGGTGACCCTGGAGGATATTATGCTGAGTGAAATATCTCAGTCACTAAAGGACAAATACTGCACAATGCCACCGTTGTAAAACGGGACTGACACTGGGGTTGGGGGGAGACAGAGAAAGAGGGGATAAATAATGTATACTGCATTGAAATAGATGAGGGAAAGAACTGTTTAAAAGTGATATATGATTAGGTATTATTGTCATGACAGGAGTCCAGAATGAAGGTTGCATAATGGAGTGGATTTGAGGGGTGGAATTGTATAACAATGATAGAGTTTTTCTTTTACTTTTCAAAGAGAAGAGTAAATTTGGGGGAAGGGGTGGGCAGGGAGAAAAGTGCAACAATGAATGAATGGAAATCCAAAGTCTCTGTAAACTTTCATTAAAATGAATAAAAAAAAGAAGTAAAACTATTGATTGAGGTAGATGCATCTACTGTGGTAGGATATTTGAATAGACTCCTAACAAAAGATTGTCATTAATGTCACAAAACAAAACGTGTGTGTTGTAAACTTTCACTCAAATCATAATGTAATATTAAAAGAAGAAATCAAAGGATGCACTGCATTGGGCCAATGTGCTCCGGTAAAGTCAGCTGGTTTGAATTCACTTAAGAGCCCCCCAGGCACACACTTTATGCTGTTGATCCACTTCTGGCTGGTGTTTGGATCTTGAACCATTTTGTCTACCATCTTCTCTGTATATTCTAAGACTTCTCACTGGACAAACAAGTCTGTGTATTTCACTGTACTTTAGTTATGAATTTTCAAAAACTTCTCTATTCCAGAATTGGGGAAGACTCTCAACCATGTGGACTAACACAGTGACTTCAGCAATGTGTTGTAGTGTGTCAGAGATGGCAAGCAAGCATGGCACAGGATAGGACAGATAAATATCTGTTGTTTACAAGGTTGCTGAGTGGTACTGGACTCAAAAGCACTTAACAGCAACAACATTCAGGAATTAAAAATATAAATTGTGTGAGTGCACATGATGACTATGAGCTTTAGTAAACAGTATCACGGTAAACGCTTTTCTGTGTTATAGAAAGGAGCCGGTCACCAAGACTGGATGAACAGTGCTTTGAGGTTGCGCAAACAGTTCACATGTTTGGTTGTTAACCAACAGCTTGGCAGTTTGAGTCCACTGATTTCTTCAGAAGAAATCATGATCTACTGACAGAAATGTGGTTACCAAGACTGAAGTGAAATTGACTTGGTAGCAACTTGTAGGAAAAATACGGGAGTTCTGGTGGCCTAGTGGTAAGAAGCTGTGCTGTAATTCCAAAGGCACATGGTTCAAATCCTTTAGGTGCTCCACAAGAGAAGGATGGGAAATCTCCCACATGATTTATTACCTCTGAAAACCTGCTGGAGGGTCGGCTATGGGTTGGTTCTGACTCGACAGTACACAGCAACAATATGAAAACCGATCAAGGTATAAAAGGCCAGAAAGAAACTCTTTCTAAGCTAAGCTTTTGTGTTATACTAGGTAAAGTGTAGATTTCCAGAAATGTGGTTACATCATTCTTAGCAGAGGGTCTAGGTATAGTGCACATAGTCAGTGTGCTGGGCTTTTAACAAAAGGCTGCATGTGGGAGGAAAGGCACGGTCACTCTGGCAAAGATGGCCACCTGCTAAGTCTGCAGGACATAGAAGCCTTCCCAGAGCAAGGAGTTAGTGTGACAACTCAGGATATTTGTGGTTTTAAAGAGACATTTCTCAAAGCAGTTTTAGGTTTACAGATTCTTGCTGCTATGTTCTATTGAGTTGGATCTGACCCACAGCTGACCCTCTGGTGGGTTTTCTAAGACAGTAAATGACACAGGAGATCATCCATCTTTCTGCTGAGGAGTAGATATTGGATTTGAACTATATACCTTTGTGTTGGCTGCACAACTCTTTACCACTAAGCTAGCAGAGTTCCCTAGGTTTACAGACAAAGTCTTGAATCTAAGATGCTAGGCATGCACTCCAAATCTCAGTCTTTTGCACAAAACTCCACGTTCTATTCCCCCCTCCTCCCTTCAAACCCAGGCATGTGGAGTGCTGCTTACCTGTTTGGCTGGGAGGCCGGAGCGCCATTCTGCTCAGATGAGGTCTCTGCTGGCTTGGGTTTGAAGTAATTGACAAGTCCCCCAAACACACTCTTGATGCTGTTGATGTGCTTCTGGCTGGTCTTAAGATCTTGATCCATCTTGTCCACCATTCTCTCTGTGCGTTCTAAGACTCCTCGCTGGCGGATGAGTTCCTTGGGAAACAAGAGGGGGTGGCATTACTCCTTTTTTTTTGGCATCTTTAGAGGGCCAAGCCCAGCAGGCACTTTATGAACCCTGAGGGGTATAACTGGTTTCTGAGAACACAGCCTCTGATTCTCATTTACTCTTGAGCTGCTTTTCTTTCCTGCTGGACCACAAGACTGTTGCTAAGCATCGGAGAGCTGGACAATGAATAAGAATGACAAAAGAAGAATTGATATCTTTGAGTTGTGGTGCTGGAAAAGAGTATTTAAACATACCATGGAACAGCAGAACAAACAGGTTTGTCCTGGGGAGGGTAAAACCAGGTTGCTCCTTGGAGGCAAGGATTTTGAGACTTTGTCTCACATCCTTTGGGCACGTGGTCAGGAGGGATCAGTCCTTGGAGAAGGACATCATGCTTAGAAGGGTGGAAGGACAGTGAAGGAGACAGACAATCCTGGATGAGATGGACTGACACAGTGACTGGGGTTATTTGGGCATGTGTGTCGGAGATAGTGAGACTGTCTCTTTATAGGGTAGAGTTCAGAGCACGTACATAGGGTTGCCATGCGTCACAAGTGACTTGACGGCACATATGGTGAATGCACCTGAGGGTCACAAAGCACAGGGCCCAGGCTGGCAGCTGGCCTTCACTGGCCCTCAACCTTGGTGACCCTCACAGTCTCTGGCCTGCCAGGACCTGGCAGACTCTAGTTATTGTCTTCTTCCTGTTCAGATAATGGAGTGCTTACCTGGACCTGGACAGTCTTCCAAGTCAGTCCCTCATGAGTCTTTTCAGCACAACTACTATGACCAGTAACTGATTGTGGCACAGAAGACACAGTCTTGAGCCAATGTGGGCTACTAGAATGGTTGCGCTGTGGGAAAACTAAAACAGGGTGAGGGGTGGAGGGCCTGGAAAGTGGGGCTCTGCGTTAGCAAAGGTAAATGAACACAATGACATAAGAACCTGATCCATGATGCCCGAAGTTCATGGATTAGTCTCAGATGTTCATTCTTGACTCTGCTAGTATCTGACTCCAGGCCTAGACAGTTTCAGATTCCCCCCTCCCTTTTTTTAAAAAAAACAAAAAACTTTTATTCTTTTTACAAGGGTAAGCCCAAGCACAGCCCTCCACTACCTCAAATTATACAGCTGAGTTTCCCACACTTGGGGAAAAAAACACAGGGCTCAGAACATCAAGGGTGTAATGGATGAGCTTGCTGGGAAAACCACCTTTATGATCGTGGTAGCCCTCCTGCCAGGCAAGTACATAGTCTCAGCTTTAAAACTCCATTTTCAGTGCTGGGGGGGTGTGGGTGTGTGTGTGACTCTGCCACAGGGCCTTTGCACGTCTATTTCATTACTTATAATGCTCCTCTCCCAGACACACATGTGCCTCTTTCTATTTGATTCAAGAGTTTGCTTCCTTGGAGAAGCCTTCCCTGAACACAGCTGTTACAGCAGAGCCCACTTTCCAGCACCCTCCATCCCTAACCCTACTTTAGTTTTTCTACAGCATGATGGGTCTATGAGTCCAGATTCAGCATTGCTCAAGGTCATGTCTTCCATGCCACTATTAGAGTGGCTGATCATAGCAGATGTGCTGGAAAGACCTCTGTGGTCATGGGGATAGTGAAAATGTTTTCTTACCAGATGCAGATGGGAATGTACTGCAGTGATGATGCTAACACTTGCCTTTATTGATTTTGTTTCTGTGTCCACTGTGGGATTTACTGACAGCTATTTCAGCTGGGTTCCATCTCTGTAGCCACCTTTCTAGTCTCTCAGGTCTTTTGTTCTATTTCTGCCTCGGAATTTTCTATGCTTCATTGCCCTTATGGTTCAATAGTTAGATCAACCTCTCAGATAAGTCCTAGGTTGATATCTACAAATGAAGTCACAAACCATGTTCAAAGTAGTCCTCAGAAATTCGTGGAGTAAAAATGAAAGTACAGATGATACTGGAGTAACGTGGAGGTTGGGGCACCGACACCTAAGCAGTACAAAATATGCACATAACTTTTTAAAGTTATTATGATTTTAACAAACGTTTACAGAAAAGTCAGATTTTCATTAATTTATTGTTGCATAATTTCCTCCCTCCCCCAGTCTAGTTTGCTATGCACTTCTTATTCTGGACTGTTGTCACACAAATAATGCCTAATCATACAGTCCTTTTAAATAGTTCTTTCCTTCATCTGTTCTGATGCAGTGTTTATTATTTACTCCTTCCTTTCTTAGGTCCCCCTAACCCCCACGTCAGTCCTGTTTTGTAACAGTGGTGTTATGCAGTATTTGTTATTTTGTAACTAAGATATTTCACTCAGCATAATGTCCTCTAGGGTCACACATGTTGTATATTTTATGAGTTCCTTGTTTTTCAGTGCTGTGTAGTATTCTATTGTGTGAATAGGCCACAGTTTTTCTATCCATTCCTTTATTGATGGACAATTGGGTTGCTTCAATCTCTTTGCTCTTGTGAACAACACAGCAAACGTGCATATATCTGTTTGGGTGGCAGCTTTGGTTTCTTTAGGGTATATTTCTAGTAGTAGAATTGCTGGGTCAAATGGTATTTCTATTTGCAACTTTTTGAGAAAGTGCCATACTGCCTTCCATAGTGCTTACACCATTGTACACTCCCACCAGCAGTGAATAAGACTTCCAATCTCTCCACAATCTTGCCACCATTTGTTTGCTGCTCTGTTGAACTTTACTATTGATACTAGGGTGAGATGATATCTCATAGTTTTTTTTAAAAAAATCTGCACGTAACTTTATATAAATATTAATGCATGTAATTGTTGCTGCTGTCACATTAGTTCCAACATATCGCAACTCAATGCATGAAATGATGAAATACTGCCTGGTTCAGTGCCATCCTCAAAATTGTTGCTATGTTTGAGCCAATGCTGCATTTGCAGGTGGCAGGTTCAGGAGTAAGTGGACCTGCTCCCAGTCCCTGTCCTCAGGAGGCCACAGTTCAGCAAAGGGAAGTAAGTGAGGGTCCATCTGGTCTTGTGTCTCATGAGCACACATCACCCAGGGAAAGGGGACTTTCAAGCAGTGGCGGTTGATGGGGAGCCTAAAAGCTGAGGCTCAGGAAGTGAACCAGGGGTCTAGGGGAACATTCCTGGCAGAGGAAGTAACAGGCAGCTTGGGGCGGCGCAGGGCACAGGAACCCAGGAAAGCAGCAGAGCTGTGCTGAGCAGTAGGGCACACCCAGGAGGTGATGAGGGACCTTCAGAAGACACCCCCCAGCCTCTGGTCATCAGCAAACATATTTCAAATGGCCTCATGCCCTTCCTTGGCAAAGTCAGCCCCAAGTTCCTGAAAAAAGGCACCACACTCAGCTTCTCAGATGTGTTAAAAGTTAACTCAGTACTGATTCATAATAAGTGAGGTATTGGTGGCTCAGTGGTGGTCACTCGGGAGCCCTGAGGTCAACTGCTGACCAAGGGACTCACACAGAGCCACCACCACCATCACACAGGACTCCAAAGCAACAGGACCAATGGAACTTTCCTGGGTTCTCCTGGACTCTGACCTGGGAGCCTTCTTACTTTACTGATTTTAGTCACTCTCCTTTTGCTGCCATAAGCTGTAACTGTTAGTCTAACAATTTTGTTGAGTTCTTTTAGTAAATTATTGAAACTGAAGCAGTTGTGGGGAACCCTGAACAGTATTTCTCACTCTCAGAATAATCACTACAAAAGCAGAAGACTGGGAGACACACACAGCATCCTCAACATATCCAGTGTGTCATTTCACTGGCAAAGCAAGGTCCTGAGGACAATGACACCATCAGAAGTGTAAGAAAGACTCTCCTGTGTAAGAGAGTATTTTATGAAAGTACTACTCCTCAGTGCTGCATAGTATTCCATTGTGTGAATGGACCATAATTTCTCAATCCATTCATCTGTTGGTGAACAATTGGGCTGTTTTCATGTTCTTGTTGTTGTGAATACCACTACTAAAACACAGGTATATAACTTCATTTGTGTTTCAGTTCTATTTTCCTTGGGGTATATTATGCTGAGTGAACTAACTCAGTCTCACTAGGACAAATACTGCATAAAACCATTATTGTTAAAATAGGAAGATAAATGGTAAGAGGTAGATAAAAGTCCAAAAGAGGAAGGGAAGGGGAACAAGGGGACTTGGGGGGAAGAAATCAATAGGATAACAGAGTTTGGTGAGCAGAGGTGTGTGAATGAAGGTTTCAGATCTAATAGGTACCTAAAAAGATGGAGTAATAGTACTCATAGATCAATGGTGACTGATATTATAAAATGCAGTGTGCCTGAGTGATTTTTTAAACAAAGTGTGAATGTAGGAATGTATGAAATGCAATGCACATGAATAATACACAAGATACATGAATTTTGTATGTAAATCAATATAAAATAAAACCAAAATCCAAGAAAAGAGCAGTCTATCTGTTGTTATTGTTGTTATTATTGAGTAGGAACTGAGCTGTGGCTGACCCTCCAGCAGGTTTTCAGAGGCAGTAAATTGCACAGGGGAGACTGCCTATCTTTCTCCCATAAAGCAGCTGGTGGATTTAAACCACGTGCCTTTGGTTTAGCAGTGCAACTCTTTACCACTAAGCCACCAGTGCTCACATCTACAGTGATGCTATGGCTCCAGTGCCTTATCTACCTAAATGATAGTGCCAGGAGAACCGCACACAATGGAATACTATGCTGCATTAAAAAACAAGGAACTCATGCAATATTATTCAAAATGGTTGACTCTGGAGAACATTATGCTGAGTGAAATATCCCAGTCACAAAGGGACAAATATTACATGATGCCACTGTTGTAGAATGGGACTGTCCTTGGGGTTGGGGAGAGACTGAGTAAGATGGGTTCAATGATGTGTGCTGCACTGAGGTGGAGGAGGGAGGGAACTGTTTAAAAGAGATATATAACTGGGTGTTTCTGTCATCACAGGAGTCTAGAGCGAGGGCTGCATGGTGGAGGGGACCTGGGGGGGGGGGTTGT